GAGTGTAAAGAAAGAAATCAAGCAGAAAAATAGGCAAGAAATTTCTGGGACCCAGAAATGGATGATTATCTGTTGATGATAATGTGTCTTGTATCCTCAACTGGACTGGTGTGAAGTACATTCATGTTGGGTAAATTCATTTCACAAGCTAAGTGATATATAGTAATTGAATGTATAAAATAAATGAAAATTTTAAAAAGTAATAAATTATTAACATTAAAAAAAAAAGACAAACCCCAGCCACCTGGTGGAAATTTTAAAAAGTAATACATTATTAACATTAAAAAAAAAAAAGACAAACCCCAGCCACCTGGTGGTGAGGAAGTCTAAGTGACCTGTGGAGAGGCCTCGTGGTGGGAACTTAGGCCTTCGGTCCACGACACTAGCTGAACTCCCAGTGCGCAGAAGCACCAACCTGCTGGCCGTGTGCGTGTGCCATCTTGAAGGTGGACCCTCTAGCCCCGGGCTGCTCCAAATGATGTGTAGGGCAGAGGTGAGCCTTCCTCGCAATCGCAGATGGATGGGCTCGATAAGCTGTGGGGGTGCTGGGTTACACAGCAGTGGGAAACAGTACCCCACTCCCCCCTCCCTCCCCCAGAGTTGTGCAGAAGTCTTGGGCCTTACCTAGGTCCAGGCACCAACGCGAACCTGTGTTTCTTGCCACGAGAATTTGCAATTCTTTCACTGTCACCTTTGGGGTGGAGAAACCTCCTGAGAGGCCAAACCTTTGGGATCTTGCCAAACCATCTCCCTCCACTTCCAAGTTGGCCTTTGATAAAAACAAACAAACAAACAAACAAAAAGACTCAAGGTTATTTAGAGTGGTCATTCGTGCCCCCTTTCCCATCTCTAGAACTCCTGGCATCACCTCTGGAATGGACTGAAGACTTTTGCAAAAGATGGAGTCTCTCACAGGTGGGCCTCTCTGCTGTCAGCCGGGCAAAATTCCCAAGGTAAGTCACGGCGAAGCCTGCCTCCTGCTGGCGGAGAGGAGAGCAGCCAGTGCGGGGAGATCCGACACAGCTGTGTTTCAGCAAGTGGCTCAGATGCACACCCACTCATTGCTGGCTCTTCAGCTTCCAGACACTGTTCAAGGTGCCCGGGGAGGGGGCGCTGTAGACAGAGCCAGTGGACAGAGGTGGGATGTGGGCTGGAGTGCTGACATGCCTGAGTCTTGGGCCACTTGTAGGACAGAGGTACAGATGGAAAGAGAAGCAGGATGGGAGGGCCGAGGGCCGGGGTGGTCCTCTGACACCACCAGGTTCCTGCACAAAATTCCACATGGTCCAAGAACCCTAAACTTGAGCATGGTCATTAAAAAGAACATTAGTCAAGAGAATAAAGATGTATTTTTTAATTCCCAGAGGGCATGTGTGCTCATTAGAGAGAGAAATCGTGCAAGAAAGTGTATATTCCTTTTTCCTTTATAAAAGAAAAACAAAAAGAATTAGAATTTCATTTCATTTCTTCAATTTGACCAGAGACAGACAGATGGGGGTGGAGGGTGAGAAGCAAGGCACCAGGTCTGGGACTCGAACTGCTATCGGCCATATGGGAGTCCAGTGCCTTAATCACCATGCCACCTGCCAGCCCCTATTCCTTTCTCTTTGCACTGTTTTTTAAAGTGTATTAATTTCTTCCATGTGCGAGCAACAGAGAGACAAGCACCCCATCAAGTCACCGCACCGTCTCAGCCGGCCTAGGTCCTGGGAGCATTAGTGCATGCCTGGTATGCAAAGAGTTCCTAGGATGTACACCAGTGGTGTGGTCAGGCCACAATCCCTTCTCTTCCACTTCTCCATCCTTTTGAGATTTGGGGCTCACACACACAGACTCGGTGGCTTAAAACTCATGCTGGGCGCGTGTGCGCGTGTTCCTAAAACCCCAAGAGGAAGATGGAGGAGAAGGGATGGCTGCATGGCCATCCCCCTTGGAAGTGATCTCTCTCTTTCTGTCTCTCTCTGTCCCTCTGGTGAGCGTGTCTGCCCTGTAGCAGAAGTCTCTCTCAAAAACAAACTGGAGGGAACCAGCAGTTAGCATAATGCCACTGGACTCCCACGTAGTCGACCACGGTTCACGTCCTGGACATGGTGGCTTAAAACTCACGCCGGGCGCGTGTGCGTGCATGCCCGAGATCCCAAGAGGAGAATGGAGGAGAAGGGATTGCAGCGTGACCATCTCCCCTGGGGGGTGATTTCTCGCTTTCTGTCTCTCTGTCTCTCTCTGTCTGTCTGGCGAGCGCATGTGCCCTATAGCAAAAACCTCTCCAAAAAAAAACAAACAAACAAACAAACAAACTGGAGAGGCTGGGGTTCAAACTGCAGTCGGCCATGTGGGATCCAGATCTTCTAACCACCAGGATACAGCCCAGAATAAGCATAGTTTATTTTACAGTTGTTCGGTGTTTAGCTACAAAGTATGTAGGTCTTGATGGCCGCCCCGTGTTGTTCAAATATTATTTCATAAGAGAAAGAAACAGGTACCCATAACAGGGTCTTCATGCCACAACCCACCCCAGCCACAGCCAGCCCAGAGCAGGGGCATCCAAATGTGTACCTAGCATGCTCAGGGAGGTCCTGGGATATGAACTCAGGACCTTTTCCATGTGAACCCACTTGCATTACCGTGGCCCCACCACTTGGCATCTCGATCTGCACTCTCGACTTGGGTGTCACCCATCAGGGATGTCTGTGCAGAGGACCAGGGTCCCAGGCTGTGAGTTCCCAGGCTGGAGGCGAGTGGGGCAGAGGTTGCCGCAGCTGTCTGGAGAATGACCACCGCCTGGTCGCAGCTGCCTCCATCTCTGCTCTGGAAAGACCAGCAGATGGGGCTGCATGAGAGCAGGTCTGGGGGGCAGGGGGCCCTGATGGGACCCAGCTGTTCTCCCAACTGCATGTCCCCATCCCAAACACTCTCAACAAGGAAGGAGTGGCAGGGGAGGGCATGTTACACCCACTCTGCATGAGTCGGGTAGGGCGGGGAGCCCAGCCCTGACCATAGCGCGTGTGGGTTCTCAGAGTGTGGTCCCTGAACTCACAGCACCACCACCCCACCCCCCATTGAAAGCTAGTTAGGACTGTGGCTCTTGCAGGATGGATGGTGTCCCTTTGTGGGAGGGACACCCAGTGGCACATTACTGGGCTTGAAGGATTCCCCAGCCCCTACATCCCTCAGTGCCATGTGGAATTCTATGGAGACTTTTTACTGGAAAGAGAATATTTCTTAGGCCCAGCAGTTCGCATAATGGCTATGTCACTGGACTCCCATGTAGTCGACCACAGTTCAAGTCCTGGACCCGGTGGCTTAAACTCATGCTGGACACGTGTGCGTGTATGCCCAAGATTCAGAGAGGAGAACGGAGGAGAAGGGATTGCGGTGTGGCCATCCCCCCTGGAGATTTCTCACTTTCTATCTCTCTGTCTTTCTGGTGAGCGCTTGCACTCTGTAGTAGTAAACCTCTCCAAAAAAAGAAAAAGAAAAAGAAAAAGAATAAAAGAATATTTCTTAAAGCATGCACAGTGTCCAAACAGTGGGAAAATGCTCCACCGATGCTGTCAGAGTTCATCTTCAACCGCCACCCCCAGAATGAACATCGTATTGTTGCTTTTGTCCCTTTACAAGGGCTAGTCCCAGCAAGCTTAAGTGCCTTGTCTTGCTCTGGCCTAAATGCTGTCCTGTCCAGAGACTCTCCAGCTCTGCTGCTCCTCAGACCCCCCTCACGTCACCAGGAGCTCAGCAGTGCTTCTCAAACTTGAGTGCCATTCGCAGCCACCTGGAGGCTTTGTTAAAATAAATTGCTCTTGGGCCAACAGGTGGCATGGCATGGCGGTTACGGTGCTGCATGGATGGACTGCCACAGGGTCGACTGCAGCTTGAGTTCCGGACCTGTCAGCTTGCTTTCTCACTTTTCCTCTCTCTGTCTCTCTCTGGGGAGTGCATGTATCCTATAGCAAAATTAAAAAATAATAATCACAATAAATAAAAAAATAAATAAACTGCTCCAGAGTTTCTTATTTTGGAGGTCTGCAAAGGGTTCCTCCACCCCCAATGCATGTCTAACAAGTTCCCGGGGTGATTTAGCCGCTGCTACTCTGTGGACGGTGCAAACCCCTGCACCAGCTGGGCTCCAGCTCCAACCCAGCTCCACCCAAACAAAGCGGGCATGATCACGCCCTCCCACAATGGCTTGTTGTGAGATGCCAGCGAGATGATGGGCGTGAAAGAGCTGTGTCAGCTGCTCTCACACTCCCTGCTCTCACACTCGCCAGGCCATTCACCTGGGAACCTGCCTGGGGCTGGTGCCCTGGAGCCTTGAAGGGCGACTGGCTGGGGTGCAGGGTGGGGACCTTAGCGTCTCCAGCGAGAAAGCAGCCTTGAGGGCCCAGACCCAGGATCCCTCCTCGATCTGCACCGCCTCCTCATCTCAAGCAGCCTGCTGGGCACTGCCCCAACAGCTGACTGGCCTGGGCCACTTGTGTAGGGGCCAGTCCAGGCAGGCTGGGGCAGTGCAAGCCCATGACTCAGTTTACGCGCCTGGATCTGTTCACCACTGCCTCTGGTGTGTGACTCAGAGTCTGCGTCTTGCCTTCTCTAAGCCTTGGGGTGTGCATTAGTAAAAGGGGCTCAAAGGAGAACCCCGTGAGCTGGTGGAATTCAGGGCCAGTGCTTTTTACAACGCTTGGCAAGCAGCCTGGCTCCTGGCAAGAGTTCAGTCAATAGTAGCTTTTTGTATTTTCATGAAGTGCCTGAACCCAGGCCGCCTTCTGATCGAGTCCCGGTCTTGGAACGCAAACTGCTCCCACGCTGTTCCCCGGTTGCGCCCGGATACGTCCGTCCTGGAATGCCAGCGTGGGGCCCCAGACCGCCAGCCCAGAGTTTGGGTTGAGAAAGTGCAGGAGGCGGGGATGATGGGAGGGCCTGCGGGGGCCTGGGAGGGGCCTGGAAGGAAGAGTGGGCTGGACCGTTAGGTAGCGCCGTGCGAGGGCAGGGTCGGGGCGAGGCGGAGACGCACAGAGCGCTGGGCCTCCAGCCCTGCGTACCCTGGGGGCTGCCGGCTGGGATAGGGTCCGAGGTCACAGCCGGGCAGGGCAAAGGGCGTGGCCTCGCCTCCCCAAGCGCGGGGCCGGACGGGGTTAGGGTAGGGAGGCCGTCGAGGGCGGAGCGTGGCCCGGCGGGGAGGAGCTGCTCCCCTGCACGGTTCGGGGCGGGGCCTGTGGGCACTAAGGAAAGCAGAGGAGGCGTGTCCAGGGCGTGTCCTCTGGGTGGGCCTGGCAGACTCTGCTGAGTTCCCCACTGCCTCTGGGAACACAACCGAGGAGGACCGAGCCAAGACTGCGCAGTCGGACGCTGACTGGGGCGCGAGCGGGCGACCTCGGACTTGCAGCGCCGAGCAGAGAGCAGAAAGCAGGTGAGAAGGGGGACTGGGGAGGCCGGCTGGGCAACCGGAAGCAAAGTTCGCTTTCGCCGTTGGCGCAGGCAGCTTTCTCAGAAGGAGTTGACAGGTTGGGGCAGCTGGTGTCTGAGAAGGAGTATAGCCTCCAAAGCCTGATCCCCCAGTTCTCTGGCTCCCCCTTGCACTAGCTGTGCGACCGGGCCCGTCCACTACGGGTCTCTGGACCTCCGGGTTCCAGCAGGAGGAGAGCGAGCCAGGCGAGCTCCCTATTCCGGTTGCCGGTTCTCACCGACACCGGGAAGGCGAGGCCAGGTGAGCGACCTCGGTGCAGCAGCAGGTGCTCAGATGGCACTGCCAGGCTGCAGTTCCCCCCCAAGGCGGACTGCGCGGGGAGAACTGCTGTAAAGGTCACAGTGGTTCCTCCGACGGGGCTCAGATTCCGAGCCCTGGGGAAGGGGACCCCGAAGCAGTGAGGTGGCTGCTCTCTCCCCATCTCCCAATTCTGAGAATTTAACTGAGCCAAGAGTTTCAAGTTTGAAACTCACTGGGGTTTCTCCAGAGCTGAGCTGGCCTGAAAGGCCTGGGGCGGAAATCGGGGACAGATCTTATCAACTGAGTGGGGAAGAAAAGGGGGAAACCCCACAAAAACCTGGACTCAGGGTTACGCTGAGAACCGGCCTTATGCTGTATGCCCAGAGTCCATTCCTTGGGTTGGAGGCTTCCATTCTTGGGGTAATGGTGCAGCCGGAGCTACAGCCTCCTGCAGTGGTGAGGGCTTGGGCTTCAGGAGGAAACGGACTGGAAGTCCAGTCAGTAAAGTGGAGTAATGACAGTACCCCAGCAGTAGTGGGAAAACTAAGAGTCCTGAGTATACAGTGCCCAGCAAGGCGCCAGTGCCCCCTGAGGCCCCGCTGCACACAGCTGCTCTGATGTGGACGGCAGGTGATGGGCTGGCTTCCTGCAGGGGGAAAAGCCTGTTTTTCTTGGAGGACTGGAAGCGGACTGCTGCCTTCCTCAGACCTTGTGAGGGCCAGAAATGGCCACCTGCCACCAACAGCACTGTGCATTTGAAGGTTAGAGAGTGAGTCACCTGGGCCAAAGACTGGTTGAATTTTCATGTTACCTGAGGTTGGCAGGTGTTCGATTAAACCAAAAACTATTTACTGAGCACCTGCTATTCATATAGACTAAGCAGAGCTAGGGGGTGCAGAGGTGAACTAGCCAGGCCCGGCCCTGCCCGCGTCTTGAGTTGCTAACAATGATGGCACCCCCATTTCCATCATGGCCCTGCTGGAGAGGACACTCACCCCCAAGACATGGGGCAGAGATTCCCTGGCTCTGTCCTGCCCGGGGGGCTGGGATCCAGTTATTCCGGTGCATACTTGGCTTCGGGTGGAGGTGAGGGGCAGCGGGGGCACCTGTTGTCCATCTGAGCAGGATCTGGCACAGAAGGACATTCGGGGTGCTGTGTGCCAGCTCCCTGAAGCTTCCGGGGCCAGCTGCAGAGTGCTACGGGACAGAATTCCGATCAAAGGCGCGCTGTGGAGGACAATGTGTGTGTGTGTGTGTGTGTGTGTGTGTGTCATGGAGGATGGAGGAGGGGCTCAGGAGAGGTGACGCTTGAGAAACCAGAGTAGGCGTGGCTTCCTGGAGTTGGTGAGCCTTGAGCCGGACTTCAAGCCTGAGCTCTCAGGACCTGGTTGGGCTTGGTTCAACCTGGGGCTGCAAAGTCCCCTCATTTCAAGCACTTGAGTAGCACAAGGTTAGAGATTGGTATAGCAGCGCGGGAGAGGACTCTGTGGGTGGTGGCTGTGGCTGTGGTGGGAAAGAGCTGTTCATTTCAAACAGTGCAGATAGACAGCTAATGGAAACCCCCACCCTGCCCCACAAGAATGAAT